ATGATCTTCCAATCTTGTTGGTACTACCAAGGTTACAGAGATCCTGTTCCAACCGATCGTCGAAAGACAGTAGCCGTCATACAAGTAGAATATTCGAAATTCGTTGCTGGTGGGTTTCGAACCCTCTACCTGGCTGAAATATCGCTTGGGGGTGCGATAACTTAACCACTTCACTAAGTCACCAATTTAAAAATTTTATGATAAACTAAAGGTGTTTTTATATACAAAATTTTATTTCCAACATTTTTACTTAATATATCAGGGGTTGATTTAGACACTCATTTTTTTTTTATTTTCACATTTTATTTTTTTACTATATCTTTGAATTTGCTAATCTATTCTATATAAGGTTTGTGTTATAGGCACAAATAAGTATACGCCAAGCTATACTTGCTATATATATTTAAATTTTTGGTTATATAAGGTTATACAAAATTATATATAAAACTATACTAGTTGCTTCTTAAATAACTTCTATTATTTATCTATCTTTAACTTCTAATTCATAAATTCTATATTTCAAAAAAACTTAAAAATTTCAGCTATTATTTTAACTTTTTATTATTATTTTAACTCTTTTAAAAAAACTTAGAATAATTTCTAAATCAAATACAAAACTTATAAAAACCAACTATCAAATATACTTATAACTTTCTTTAAAAAATATCTCAATGTAGATTTTCTTACAATTTATCTAAATATGATCTAACTAGTTTAATTAACAATACTCTTGACTAGTTTTAAGCTTTTCTAATTAATACTGAAGCAGAAAAACAAACTTAATTTTTAATATCTCTTGGTATTCAAATTCTTGACTTTATTAAACTATTTCTTTTAAATTTTTATTCTGGTCGAATTATTTAACCTGAAGCTTCTAATCAACAAACTACCAAAAATAACTTCAATGATTTATTATAATGTATAGATTTTCAACAACTACAATTTCTTACTGATTTTATTCACTAAAATATAATTAATAATCACAACACCAACATATTATCTAATTATTTTCTATTTATTTTAAAAAATATCTTATTTATCTTTACTACTGTTCTTTTTACAAGACTTAATTATAAAAAAATATTTAATTATGGACCTGTGGGTCGATAGCATAGTGGTTAGCACTCTCGGGTCACAATCGCAAGGTCACGAGTTCGAGTTTACTGGTTAACAAACGGCTCTGCTAGGACCACGATTGGCTAAGATCTTTGGAGGATTTTCCATTAAAAAAATGAAGAACAAGATTTGTACAAGTTGCAGTCTGCCAGTATAGCCACAGGGCCAGGGACAACCAGATAAGGTGTAATCCGTCAACAAACGACGCTAAAATTGAGAAAAACCTAGCTTAATAGAATCAAGGATATCAGATATAAAAGGACATCCGGCTTGTGGGTCATGTGAAGTTAGGGAACTGCGGATCTAGAGAACGTAGATCCTACACTGCGGCACCAGAGACCTGGGACGTCATATGATGTACTTAACAGAGCATGAGTTATCTTACCAGTACGGTAACACATAGGTGGCCAATTCGCCATACTGGTGATCTCTGCAGATACGAAAACTCTGGCCTTTGAGAGATGTGAGAGATCCGAAGGTGTCTAAGGACCTTCGAGATGCGGAGAGAGGTAAAAAAAAAAAAAAAAAAAATATTTAATTCAAATTATTTTCTATCTTCCTATTCTATTTCCAAATATTCTCAAATTGCAATTAATCTTGCTTATTTGCATCTTTTTCTTCTAAATCAATACAAAACTATTAACTATATTAAATTTTTTAAAGATTTGAATTTTAAACCTATTTATATATTATTTCATTTTAATACTATATTTAACAATTCTGATCTATTACTTTTTAAAATAAAAAATGATGCTAAATATAATATTTATATTTGATATTTCTTTACAAAATTTTTTAAAAACCTTTTATATTTCTTCCTTTAAAAATAGTTCTTAAAATTCTTTAACTCATACAAACAACAATTCTTATATATTAATTAACAAAAAGTTTATAACTTTATTAAATATCAAATTATTACCTATTTTTCTAATGAATTTAAAAAACTACTTATAAACTTCTACCAATTTTCTACTATTAACTTATTACAAAAAAGAATAAAAGCTTTAATTAAAATATCACTATATTACATTTATACTTGTACAAGTAACACATGTATATTCTTTCTAATAATACTCCTTATATTTTTAAAAATTTAACTTTTTTTTACTTTCATAACTCATTCAAAACCTATATTTATCCTTACTTAAATTTTGCTATTTTTCAACTAAACTAATCTTTAAACACTATTTTCTTAAAACCTTTCCTATTTGAGTCTCTTAAAAAATTAGCTAACTTAGCAAAACAACAATTTATACAACTTAATAATACTTTTACAAATTTTAAATATAAATTTTTTTACTATACTTATTTAAAACACTATTTAATAGCTGCTACTAAAAATGATAATATGGGATGTCATTAATAGAAATCAAGCAAATTAATATTTTAAAAAAAAATTATATCTTAGCTTATATAGCTCATATCTCAATAAATTTTGAAGCTATTTTAATAATTCAGTAATCAAAAGAAATTTTAGATCTTGAACTTTCTTTTAAATCTTAAATAATCAAATTAGCTTCAAAATTCATCAAGATATAAGTCATGAAAGTTGAGATATTAAATTTTTTTAAAATATCAATCTGCCTGATTTCTATTAACAGCAGCCCATATTAACTCTAGCCTTAAAAATGCTCTTCAAAATGCTTTTATTAAAACAACTGACCTATATACTCTCACTAAAATTATATTCTATTTTGGTATTATACAATTCTCTAATTCACCAATTTCTCAAATTACAAATATTACTAATCTTATCTTCTACAAGCATTACAATATATTTTTAAAAACTTCAAACTCTTAAAGTTTCTACTAACCTCTTTTTTCTTCAATAAAAAATACCAAATACTAAAGCTATTAAATCTTTTTTTTTATCCAACCAATACAAATCTTTTATCTACTATACTTATTTAAATATTTATTCTCTCTTAGCAATATAATATATTACTATTATCTATATAAACTTCTAACAATTTACCTTCTTTACTATTACTAATTTTAATCCTATTCCATTTATGATATTTTAATTATTTTATTTATATACAAAATTATAACTTCAATACCTTACTTATACTACACTTATTTTACAACTATATAATTATTATTTACTTTTTACAACTCTTTATACTTTATTACTTTTTTTTTTTTATAGCCTTCACTCTGATTGTACTTCTTGGGTCATATTCTTCTTCATTTCTTTTAGTTTTGGATATTTCTTATAATATTGTAATTTGGATGATTTCTTGAGCCTCTATATTGACCAAATCTTCAACCTGTTCTACAATATGTCTTTGTAACAAACCTGTTGTATAATCCTCTACCTCATCCTTGATTTTAAGCTTGTGCTTCAGTTTAAACTTAGTTTTTGCTACTCTACTATTATTTTTTGCAATTTTGACTT